TACTTAGAGCTTTGAATTAGCTTTCCAAATCATCAAACTTTTCTTCATTTGGAGTTTGGAGCAGAGAGTTATGGCCTTTTTAACTAAAGGTGCACAGAACAGCCTGGCAGCAGTGAAGTTCGACTTTGCTCTTCATTTTAGACCCACCAAACTTGAGAACTGGACTTCTATCAAAACATGACGTACTTAAAGCTTTGAGTTAGCTTTCCAGATCATTAAACGGTTCATTATTTGGAGTTCGGAGCAGGGAGTTATGGTATTTTTACCAAAAGTGCGCAGAGCTGAGGAACATCAGTGGGCGCCCGCGAGAAACCCGCGGGCGCACGCCAAAATGGGCAGCGAGCTCATGCGCCCGTGGGAGCCCGCCGATTTGCAGAGATCTGCTCACCCACTCCACGATTTTTACTCAAATTTGTCCCCTTTGACTAAATGAATGGTTAGGCTTCCTTCTAGGGATTTCTAAGCCACGAATTGGGGGAGATAGATAAGATTTTTAGGATATATTTGGTGGCTTGTATCATGTAAAAGATATATCTCTCATTTTGTAAGGTTCTAGAGAGAGAAAGAAGTGTTCTTGAGAGCTTGGCTTGTGGGTGGCTCCTAGGTGTGAAAATGGAAGGGTTGGCCATCTCTTCTCCTTCCTCCATTGTTCCTATGGGTAACTAACTCCCTTTTTTGGGAGGTGATGAAGCCCTTCTTTGTAAACATGCCTTAGTTTCATTTAATTTGGGGAATGATTCATGTATATGGTAGTTTCATGATTTAGAGCACTTACACTTGTTGTAATGGAATTTAATGCCTATAAATGATCATATTGAGTTCATTATCTTGTCTTAAATTTTATCATTATATAACTTGCATCTTTATAGTGAGAATGGAAATGAAAATTGTGAAATGGGTTTAATGGCATGTTGTATAAGAAACTTGATATTCCATAACTTAGGGCCTTCCTTTGATGGATTACTCTTGATTTTTGACTTCATGTGCTATTATCATTTGATTGAGGGTTTGATAATCCCTAGCTTAGTGAGCATGTTATGACTACACCCTAGTTTAGGTAGTTTAAGCATGTGGACTTTGAGGGGTTATACTTAAGTCTTAATCCTATGAACTTCTTGAAGATAATGTAGCAATCTAGTATTGCTACATATCATTGCCATACATTGACAATGTTTCCCAAGTTAATTGTAATCTAGCATGTTTATATGGAAGGTAGTGGATTCACTTCCCTAGTTTTCTTTACATAAGTCTATCTTCTTTACATTCCTTGCATTTAGCATTTTAAGTGTGATACCCTTCGGATCCGAGACACGGGTTGATCAGGCCCAAGCCCAAACCTGAGGGATATCAAACAATTAATATGTAATCGAACACAGAATACAAGATAAAATTAAAAATAAAAATAATAAGCTGAATAAGTGCTAATTGAAAATCCTTAAAATATAAATATTAAAATCCAATAATCCAAAACTCCATAAGCTTACAACTCGGGAATCCATCCATTGAACCCCTTATTAAAATTCTCCAAAAGATACTGAAATAATAAAAATAAAATTCAAAACTAACATAGAGAAGATTCCTACATAATCGGAGGAATGAATAGTTGTATCTGCTCTGCACGTCCAAACTCTAACCCTGGAATTGACGAGTACCTGAAAAATAAAGAAGTGGGTCAGGCCCACATGCAAGTCCTGATCTACTACAATCCAAACAGTAATCCGATAAGCAGATACATCCTAGGAAGACTCAACAATATCTAGAATAGTCCATATATGTATATAGTACACACTATAAGACGCTCACTAGTCCAAAAAGGTTTGTCTCAGCCTGAAAAGAGATACCATGCAAATCGCACATACTGTGGTCATGTGTATCTAGACCTACTAGGGAACAACACATCTGTCCAGCTATCCATCCTAGGCAATATACGTACCCTAACCATAGTCCTGAGACTCAATCTCATACTATGGCACATATAATAAATATATAAAATCCATACTCCTCTTAGTACATAATACCATCCATCTGTGTGGTGATCTGGTATATGTATATCCATCCGTCCTGAAACCATATTAAGTCATTCAACTATTTTATTGACATGACACAAGTAGGTGATGGACTTAACTCATAGGGTTAATCCATACCTTAATCCAAATTAGGTAGGATTTAGTGTTTGACAAATTCATACCTAATATGTCACCGTTCCATACCGGTACATGCAAATCCTCCATATAACATAGTTATTAAAACAACACCATATAATCAACAACCATACTCCAGAATATGCATTTGTATAAATTCATACATATATCAATGTTAAGTATTCATTATAAAACCTAAATATCATACTCTAATCATTTAAAACGGCTAAAATAAATCATAACGTTTAAATCCTCCAAAACAACCGATAAATTGATACCAATTAAACAAATTAAATATCAATTAAATCCAAGCTAAGTATAGTTAAATATAATTAATTCACCATACTTATAACACTATAAAAATATAGGATTATATATAATTGAATTATATGTAAAAACTTTGCCAAGTTCCAATCATATAAACCTAGCAAAAACAGTGCAACGTATAACCATTATTTGAGTTATTCATTGCTCCTTTCCTTAAACCATTATTGTATTAAATATTTTCAATATTTATGTAAGTCCCTAACATTTAATTACATCTCACAGTAGCTTTTAAACAGCCTTAGAAAACACTGTGCAGCCCAAACAACCCTTAAAACTCATTTTAGTGCGTTTCAAGAAAGAGCAGGCTCAACAAAAACATTGAGCCTGCTCCACTTTTGACTTAGAGCCAACATTGAGCCGGCTCCAAGTCCCTAATAGAGCCGGCTCCATCATCTTTGAGCCGGCTCTAAGGTAATTTTAGAGCCTGCTCAATCTCCTTTGCATCTGTTGCCCGTTCCAGTTTCGTCTTCTCCAACTCCGATGATTACAGAGCCTCTATGGTATGTTCTAATTCTTAATCTAGGTTCAATCTTAGTCCTAAATAAGTTTAAACCACTGAGATCCAATCCTAACATGTGTAGAAACACAAGTTTTAAAGCAACAATTACAACACCTCTGTTAACCAATTTTACGCAAGCTGCGACAGATTTAATTCAGATTAATTTGATGCAATTAAATATTGTTCTAAGCACCTGTTCTAGAGTTCAAACTTAGTCCTAAATTAATTACTAGGCAACCATATAAATATTGATCTCAATTAAACAAGAAAATAAACATGTTACAGGAGAAACCAACTAACAGAAACCTAAAGAATTTTGGTATAACAGTTCAATTCAACGAAGTTAATTATCAGTTTAAACATGCATAATAGATTGTTTAAGCATTAGTTTAATCCCTGGAGTCTTCCTAAGCATGCACAGAACACGAATTAACGGGAAAGAATAAAACAGAACTTGCCTTTAAGTTCAAAGTTGAAACACTGAATCCACGTCCCTGAGTTTTAGTTTTCCTTACTCTGCCTTCCTATGCCCTCTCTGTAAATTACTCACTCTCTGTTTCTCTGCCCTCACAACTCTCTGTATCACTGTATACGTGACTATGGTGAATAAGGTTTACAAAAACCCTTAGCAGATGTATACATATGTATTTATAGGCTTAAGTTGAAACCCTAACCTTAATCCTAAACCACCCATAGGTCAGCTCAAACTAAAACACGATGAAATTAATGAAACCCTAATAAATCAATTAAAAAAAATTAACAAAATTAAATAAAACAATTTAAGCAATATTAACAATTAAACAGATAATAAATCCAGTCACAAAAATGCAGCACTTAATTATTAAATCAAAGAAAACAAGTAAACCAAATAATTAATTCAAATAAGTCAAGTAAGTCAAATAATTCAAAAACAATTAAACAATTAAAAAGTCAATTAAAACATAAATTGAAAATTAAAACATAAATTAAATACCAGGACTATCCTTTTGAAATTAGGGATATTACATTAAGTACATTTAATTTGAAGTGACAAACCAATCAAAACTCTATACCCCTTCATCATTCTAAAAGTGATTTTAAAGACCTTGGTTGTCATAAACTAGCAATTCCTGTAATTCGACTTACCCGACCAATAGCCCTATTTTATAATGATTTGTGCTATTATAAAACGGGTTGATTTATAATTATAATCGATCTGTCAATCAAAAATGTAAATAAAATATTACATCGGAGTGTAACACTGTGTCACTATTGAATTGATGATTAATATAATACTTTTTACATTCTCAATTTAATATGTATTTCATCATTCCTAATATAATTGCCCCATTCTAGATGAAAGCATGCATTTAATGAGATTGCTTTTGAAATTTTTGAAGAAATATATCTCCTTTTGAAATTCTCAAATAACCTATTGAAGTTTAATTTGTGTGTATTATTATTATTATTATTTTTTTATCACGTTTAAAAGTTTTCAAAACTCCAATATGAGAAAGATGCAATAATCTCTCTTAACAATTTAGATTCAACAATTAAATTGGGAGATAAAAATTAAAGAGAATGGTTTCGAGTTTTAAGTTTGTAATTAATCACAAATGAGAATAGTTTAGATTTTGTTAGGGATACACATAGTTTGATTTATCATGATTGTAGATAAAGTAAGACCAAAATAATTTAAACAAAATAAAAAATATATTAAAATTGAATTAAATTATTAAAATTTGTGTAATTGAGCTAAACCGAAAATGATCGTTACAATTTTAAAACACTCTTATTTCATTGTACGACCAAACCACACCACATAATTTGGTTTGATTTGATCTGGTTTTCCAATTCTAACAAAAAATTTTTTTTTATATTATTTTTTTACTTTTTTTATTATTTATTATTTTTACTTTTGTTTTTTTTTTTTTTGTTTTTTGTTTTTTTGAAATTTAAGCGAATGGAATAAATAGAAAAATTATTTTCGCATCTTTTGTATTATAATTCCATAATCCATACACTTGGTCACTCCTGAAGCTAGGTTTTTTTTTTTTTTTTCTTTTGAAAATTAGCTGAAGCTAGGTTTTTGCGGCTGCAGAACAGGGGGACAAGACATGGAGAAAGAGGAGCTCCTGTGCGAAGCAGCGAAGAACGGCGACGCCGACAGGGTCAGAGCTCTAATAGATTCCGGCGCAGACGTGTCACACTTCGACGGCGATGGCCTGACCCCTCTGATGCACGCGGCCAAGCACGGCCATGCTCAGCTTGTCAAAACCCTCCTCGAAGCTGGTGCCCCTTGGAACGCCCTCTCTCCTTCCGACCTCTCCGCCGGTGACTTCGCCATGGACGCCGGCCATCAAGAAGCCTTCGACCTGCTCCTTAATGCCGGTACGCAATTACCCATTTGCCCTTTTCACTTCTCTCCACATATTTGTGCTAAGGTAGTATATGGCCATTTTGAGATGTAATATGCATATCTTAAAATTCAATTATTTTCTGTAACTGGGTTCTGCATTGATTGAACTCAACAATCAAGGATAAACTATATGCTCAATGAACATTTCACTTCTCATTATAGAGCACAATTTGTCTTATAGTTGTTCAGTGAACTTCTTGCTTCAAATTTCAGTACATCCATTCCAACTGCACTGTACTTCAAATTCATTTTTTCTCTTATTCATAGAATGACCATGTAGTTCTATTATAGTAGGATTTGAATTATGAGTCCAAGGTTTAACTTCCAGCTAAACTTGAACACTTTCATAAGCCTCTTGTATACTATTGCTTTCCTTGTAAAAGTAGGTTGTCAATAGATTAAAATTACTGTATTAGTTCAATAATTCATGGAAACTCTAGCTTTGAAAAATAAAAAAATAAAAGAAAATCTAGCTTGGATCCTCTTCTATTTGGATTGCGATGAGTAACAAGAGTTTTGAAATTAAACTTATAGCTTATCCCCATTTTTTTCTCCGGAAAAGGAAAATAATATTCAAAATAGTCATCTTGGAAGTGAGAAGGTTATGATTTCATATGTAAGTTAATAAATTGGCATACAACTGTGTAACAAATTTTCAGGTCATTTCTTTGTCCTTCTCATTTCTTTGTTCATTCTAGAACTTTCATGTGTGTGCCCTAGATTATTAAGTATGTAAATGCATTCGAATTCATGTTACAGTGGGTATATTCTTACAAGCGTCATGTTTGGTGGATGCGCTGATGTCATATAGTATATTTGAAAATGGGTTTTGGTCAATATTGTTTTTGCAAATGAATTTCTGTACTCCAACAGGGATACAAGCTGAACTGATCCTGGGGACAATAGCAAGGAGAGTGGAGAAAGGTGGTGATTCTAATGGGGACTACTTGGAAGACAGAATTAGTTTTAGTGAGGACAAGCTGATGGATGCCAATAGCAAGGCTATCATGATGCAATGGGAGAAACCATTGATGGAAGCTCATGCAAAAGCTGTTTGCTCGGGAGTTGGTCACATATTGAATATAGGATTTGGAATGGGTCTTGTTGATACTGCCATACAGCAATATGCACCTGTTACACACACTATTGTTGAGGCTCACCCGGAGGTTTATAATCGTATGATTCGTAGTGGTTGGGGTAATAAGGAGAACGTAAAGATTATATTCGGTCGTTGGCAGGATGTCCTTGCTCAACTTGATTCTTATGATGGTAATACAATATTCTTTTTCCATCTAATTTAAATTTGGGAAAATGTAACACATATATCTTGAATGGTTACTTCACTCTTATCTTAAATTTGGTGGGAAAAAAACAATTATACGTTTCTTACGATAAATGTCATTGGCAGGATGTCGTTTCTCAACTTGATTCTTAATGCATGAAACTACTTATCAAAAAATAAAAAACGAAAAAAATTATGCTGCATAAAACTTTTCTGTGCATGTCCTGTTTCTTTAGAAAAGTGACAAACTGTATCCATAGGTTGATCTTTGTCAAAAATTGTCAGGTAAGTATGCTACTAGCTTAAAGTTAACAATATGGCAGACTTGGCAGTATGTGTGTGTAATATGTATGTATTTATTTGTCACATGCAGGCATGTGTATAAGTTGTCTCCTGCACAACACCAAGTCCCATAAACCATATCTTATTTGTTTGGTCTTGAACTATTTCTTTAGACCATGTGGTATTTCTCAGTATCAATCATGTACCGATCTCTATCTTATGGAAAAAACTATCCAATATTTTCTAAAAGAGGAAATATGTACCTGCTGCCCTGTTTGGGGGACACATTCCCTTTGCAGATGAGATGTAACTTGTAAACGAATTGTATTGGAGAAATCGGATGCAGAAAATTGATAAAGAAGTCTTACTAATCTTTTGTGCACATGAAAATTAGCAATACAGAAAAGGACATCCTATGACCTTGCAATTTGGAGGAAATAACTTTCATTTATTTATGTTGTGGTCATTTTTCTGAGGATGTTGTAATCCTAAATAAAGACTGGCTAAATGTTAACAGGCGGCCTCTTTTATTCATTATTATGCACTGCTTCAATAATTTGTAGAGAGAGCTTGTTCAATATTAAGTATATAATCTTAACAAAAAAAATTGTGATGAGGTAGGATGAGACACTTGCACATCATTTACTTAGATTGCAGTTGCAAGAAGTTTATTAAGGTTTTCACTAATAAGTTTTATATTTTCTGGGGTACTTGTTGAAAGAATACCACTTTAAGTAACATCTTTTCTGAATGATTGATAAGTTTTGTCATTTAAAAAAAAAAAAAAAATAGCTATTTGATTCCAATGCAATTATATCGGAGCAATTATCTTCCAGTACCATAATTCTTCATTTTTATGGCCCTTTCTATTCAGGTATCTTCTTTGACACATATGGGGAGTATTATGAAGATCTCAGAGAGTTCCACCAACATCTTCCTGTATTGCTGAAGCCCGGAGGGATCTACTCATTTTTCAATGGCCTTTGTGGAGGTAACGCATTCTTTCATGTTGTTTACTGTCAGTTGGTTGCCCTAGAACTTGGGAATTTAGGTTATTCAACACAGTTTATACCCTTGCCTGTTAAGGATTGTTTGGGAGAAGAAATATGGGAAGGTGTGAAACACAAGTATTGGCAGTTAGATACATATTACCTTCCAGTTTGTCAGTCTATACAGGATCCTGAATGAAGCTTGAAGTTACATGTTTTTTTTTTGTCCCTAAACTTTCACTCTGTTTAACTTATGTGCGTCAATTCAGTATCTTATACAGTGCTGATCATGTTATCCATCATTTTAAATTTAGATGTTCTGGAAACTATGGTGAGTTTCTCAGGCAATTTTGTGCTTATTGAATTCTTTTCCAAATCAGCATATGATATTTCATTTTTTAAGTCATTGAGATTGTTGAAACTTTATTAAAAAGAATAATTTCAGCTTTCTTTTGTAGAGAAAACTGCATTAGCGACGAGATTTATTCTACACATATCTTCTAATACTGATTTGGAAGTGCTAGTTTTGCTCAACCCTGTGGAAGAATGGCTTTTGTCTCGGTAGTTGTTATTTACAAAATAACAAACTGAGTGTGTATATATATATATATATATATATAATGGTATACAGAAAGGAGCATAAATAGAATTAAAAAATACTGGAAGCTTAACATGAACAGCACCAACAGGTCATACAACTTAAGAATCATCCAGAATTAGAGGAAGCTTTGATTTGGGTTTTTTGTCACTTAAACATCCCAGAAACAGCGCTTATAGAAAACCTTCAGATAGAACATTAACACATTCGTGTGAGAAAGGGATCTAGATCCTCACCGGTACAAGTTTTTGTATTGAGCTTTGTTGTATATGTGCAACACCATTACATTGAGGATGCAATACTTTAAATCAAGAATGCAACTTCGATGGAAAGATGATTTTTTTTTTTTTTTTTATATATTAAAGTTGTTGCTGTATTACATCTAGATGTAATATGTTGCGTGAGTGTTACACATTCGAAGTAAAAGTGTTACATCCTCAATATAACATTATTGCATATGCATTTGAAAACACTGTATTGGAGAGGATCCTGATTCGTGTCCAACGGTACAAGTGGGGGTTGGGTCCAAGATATTTGGTTGAATTGGGTTCAGATCCAATCCCCGAGTATTTATAACGGATCAGAATCAGATTACCTATCTCGGCCCATCTCCATCTCTCCATCTTGTTATGTAGTTCTACGTGTATGCATGAGTGACAACTACGCAAGCCGAAAGTAACACATCTATTAAATAAATTCATGTGGTGATGTCATTTCATCTATTTGCCTCTCATCCGTTTCACTTTTCAGTTTCTTTATGGAGCAAATTCATTTATTTTCTTATATGCATATTCATTTTAGGAAAACTGAACCATTATTCATGTTGGCACCTTTTCAAATTAAACTTCAGGATAACAGTGACATGATGAACAAACTAGTGGTAAATGTTGTTTGTTGCACATAATAGCCGAAGACATTATTGTTGGAAAAATACGTAGGTTCTGAAAAGAACTCTGTTTAAAATTATATGAATGTGTGCGCTGCTTTGGCATTAATTCTGTCAATTTATATAAGAATTTCTTAATACACCAAGAATTTATGCTTTCACATAGCTGACTTAGAACATGTAAATACACATACACATGTATATGTATTGCCAAACATGCATTTTCTTGGTATCAGAAATCATAACATGCACCACTTGTTCTTGTGAATCACAGTTTTCCTTTTCGAATGACGCCTTATTAATCTTTGAATTGTTCACTATCACCACATGAACCTTGTACCTTGTGATCATGCAAAATACCCACATTACCAGAACCATCTCGCACATGCCAGCACCTCATGCATGCTTTCTGTTGCATCTCCACGCTAAAATTTCCTTAGCCTCTGTAACCCAAATCAGTGAATGAACAATTCTATATATAATACATGCAACTCATAAACAGAGTCAAGTACTCAGTGTATCACCAACCACAGAATCTTATGCCCATCTCACGACCCACCCTTGCTTGCATGAGCTGCTAATGGTCCATATTCTCCATACAAGGCTCTCAGTTTTTTTCTCTCAACTGAAAATTTTCAACCCCTTTCACCCTGTCTCATAGGAAGGTCTTAAGATAGTAAAGATTAAGGAGGTGAGAACTACCTTTTCATTTTTGAACTTTTCTCCTTGAAATTCTCTTTGTTAAGTTTGCACTCGTGCTTTGAGTGAAAAGCAGTCATGGGAAGTTATAAGGCAGTTTCGTGTACTGTTATTTTCTTGGTTTTGTTGTGTTTGGGGCTGCTCGGTTACGCAACTGTTGAAGCTACTAGAGAAGGGAGGTTTTTGAGTCGTAAGAGTGATGATTTGAAAAGTGGGAACCAAAATGAGTATGGTGAAGAGGCTGGCTATGAAGAGCTTGTAGCAGGTGGTTATGGGAGTGGGTCAGGCGGTGGTTTTGGCCCTGGCAATGGTGGAGGTAGCAGTGGATATGGATCAGGTTCAGGAGGTGGTTTTGGCGGCGGTGGTGGTGGTGGTGGATTTGGCAATGGTGGTGGAGGGTTTGGTGGTGGTGGGGGCTTTGGTGGTGGTGGGGGCTCTGGCTCTGGCATAGGCCAAGGTGGGGGGTATGGTTCAGGTGGTGGTAATAATGGTGGATGGAATGGCGGTGGCTATGGTTCCAGAGGTGGAGGGAGTGATGGGTCTGGTTCAGGATATGGTAGCAATGGCGGTTTTGGTGGTGGTGCTGGTGGTGGAGGCAGTGGAGGATTTGGTCATGACGGGGGCTATGGATCTGGTCCTGGATCAGGATACGGTAACGGTGGGGCTTATGGAGGAGAATCAGGCCACTATTTTGCTCCAGGCAAGAAGCACTGATATAAAACTAGTTATGTAGGAGTGGGGTAACATTAGGGCTTGAGAATAAGGATGTTGTTTGTCCACTTTATAAAAATGTATTGTTTCTTTGTCAACTTTTGTTTCCATCCAACTGTAAACATTTTAGCAGTATCGTGTAATAAATCGAAGTAGTGGCTCCTATGCTGTGAAATGAAATGAGTATCATCTAATCAAAAGCCGCCTTCTTCACAAATAAAAATTTGGTCTTTTCTTTTTACCGTAAATATCAAAAGTGAGTGAATGATTCATTCCACACTAGAAAAAATCGTAGGAACTCCTTTGATAAACATAGACAAAAAAACTCACCCACAAAAAAGATTGCATTATACAATTAATGTTTTGACAACAAATTACAATGACCCAATCCATCCCAGCAAATGTGGCATTTTTTTTCATGATTAACTTGAACATATATGTTTTTTATTTTTTATTTTTATTTTATTTTTTTTTATAAAAGTGACTAATACACTGGTGCATGTGAGGTGGTGAATGAATTAAGTCACACAGGTATGGGGCCAGAGTTGAGAAGCGACAAAATTTAAATCACACGGTAAAATCGGGAGTAAGAAAGTGGAGTGTAGTAGTGCAAGATCGGCACCCATCTAAAAGAATTATGTGACTGGCGGTGACCGGAGATGGTGAGAGCTTACTTGAACCTGTTCTGGCATGGGTTGTAAGACTGACAAGTGCAAGCCCTGGTAAAAGACACAAGATCAATCCTCTAGAAACCCGAAACCCAACTGTTCTATAATCTGTCAGAAGAAAAAAAAAAAAACTGTACTATAATCAAATCATATCAAAGGCTAAAAAGCTCATAACACTATATAGCCCAATAAAAGCCCATGTAACTTAACAAGGGTTATTCCCATCTAAATTAACGTAGGTCTATTCAATTTGAATGGAACCATAATTCCTTTTTTTGCATTTGGCGAGTAAAATTAATTTATTTAAATCAGAAAACTCCCGTTACTTAAAAAAATGATGATTAAACTTCCACCAGTTGGGAAAAATCTCCAACAATATTATAATGTTGTCATTTTATCCCAATTCTGTTAAATGAAACTGTTAACTTAGCGCGTGATTAATAATTGCTTTGTCAATGTGACTTTTGTGACGAAAATACCCTTGGTGTAACATGTGCCAAACAAGTGATATATATTTATGTGTTATTCTGAAAATACCCCCAAACTTGTCACAATTAAAACCCACGGCCACATTTATGCTATGTTTGGTTGGAGGGATGGATGAGAGGAATGATGGATGAGGCTTTTCGTTTTTGGTTGGAGGAAAAGGAAAAGAGGGAGGAAGCAAGGAAGGATGCTTCATCCCTCCTTTCTTCATGTTTTTCTATCCGCCCAATTTTGGGGGAAGGGAGGAGAGAGAAAATGAATAACTACCAACAATATGTAATTTTTAATTTTAACCTTTTCAAAAAAATTCAAATAGATATCTACTTTTTATACAGTGAGGATATATTGGTAAAAAAATATAAAAAATCTTTTTCCCTTCCTTCCAACCAAACAAAAAAAAAATATCACCCCATCCATCTTTTCTACCATCCATTCCATTCAACCAAACAAAAAATGGAAAAGACACATTCCGTTTCCCAAGGATTCCTCATCCATCCATCCCCCTATCTCTTCCATCTATTTTTCCATCCCTCCAACCAAACGAAGCATTAGTCATCTTCTCTCCCTCCATGCGAGTTTCAAGAAGCAGGAAGCCCTAGAAGCCACCCGTCTTTCCTCCATTATAGGAAGCAATGGAAGTGATTTTGAAGCCTGATGGTTAATTGTTACTCTAATTTAAGGTAATTTGCTACTCTAATTTAATCTAATCAGTAGCCCTACCCAAGCCCTAATTGATACAAATTTATTTGAGGATTTCAATAAATTTCTTTGAGATTTCAAAAAATCTAAGTGCTTTGAGGTTAAACCCATTTTGTGAATTTTGTTTCCAAAATCTACAGTAGCCGGAGGAGACTTCTTTTGTGAATCATTCCAATTTAGGAATACTTTCTCTCAGTTTCCTTATTTTAATTTAGGAATACTCTCTCTCAATTTCCTTCTTTTAATCAAATTTTTTTCGTAACTGGATCACTACACCCAATTTCCTTCTTTTAATCAAATGGGGACAAAGTTCTATATAGTAAGTTTGTAAATTTATATGATAGATGATACAATGTCCATCAATTCCCTACATCCATGCTAATATGATCAGACAGATGCACTGGTAGAGAGATGGGTTTGTTTTGAGAAAAGTATGAGAATTGAGATGGTGAGGAAGAAACCTAGAGAGAGGAGAGAGAAATAGCTTGAGTTATGTGCATGTTTGTTTCTTCTGATTTTAGAGAGAAAATAAAGCTAGAAAGAGAGATAGAGACCAAGCCTTTTCGTTAGGGACATTTCTAACGGAAAAGAAAGTTTTTTCATTTGGGAAATTAATTTCTCCTGACGTATGTGTTTGCATAGATTTTATCCTATAGATCCTGTTGTTGATTGGCAATTAATTGGAAACACGATAGAACAAACAAAGGGCAAAGCTCAAAATATGCAAAATCACCATTGGCCCCCACTTACCTAACATGAATCTTATGACTCGGTTATTAGAATTCTTTTTTCTATATGCAATTCCCTGTCTAGTCCTTTGTACCCGAAAAGCACTATGGGAAGGATGATAGAAAGAACTTGAACAGTTAGTAGTTTTTTTGGTTGCTTCGTTACAGTGCAGTGGACCCATTTACAAGGAGGATAATATTGTAATTTGAAAAATATGATTTTTTGATTTTTTAAATAAAGTGAATATCATAAGAGTAATTTAGTCATTTCACATACCCTTAACAGTTCATTGACAGAATTGGGAGTAAAATGACAACGTTGTAATATTGTTGAGATTTTTTTAAACTAGTTGGGGTTTAATGATAATTTTTTAAAAGTAGTAGGGGTTTTCTGATTTAATCCCTTAATTTATTATGAAATTAGAGTTTTTGATATATATATATAAAATTATGATTCAAAACTAAACAAAACAATAATCAAGCATAAATAAAATAGTTTTTATATGCATTTGCAAAATTAATTGTACTTCTTGAACAAAAATCATATTTATAGAATAAAAACCAAATTTATCAAGTTGCTAATCAATTCTTCTGTGAACATTTCTACGCGTCCAAGATTAAGCACGATAACCCGGCTCGCATGATCTTCTCTAGTGATGCCAAGTTATATCTTCATCCTTTGGTTGGATATAAGTATACTATCCTTGTTGTGGAATAAATCTTTTTTTCTTCAATCCTTTCTCTAACGAGGTTATAAAACTACCCTCTCCAAATATTGGAGTAAGCATGGCCACACTCTCATCTCCACCAACCAAAGATCCCGAATGCATGTCTGCACAACAACGTTACACGTTTTGAGAAGTTACAGTAGTGTAGTTGTAGAAAGTTAAAGGTGATTACCATTTAGATTAAAATAAAACAAGGGTTAGCATGATGCATCGCATTCTCTCGCTTTATTCATACAGTATTCTTATGGAGGTCCCAGAGGAATCATTACCGCAAAGAGTTGAAGAACAGTTGCATGACTGTACCTGTTCTTACAGAGGACTATGGAACACAAACATCAAATGTAAAATCAGTTTCTTTAAAAACGTGTTTTTAGTATGCAACAGATTCGTTAATATTAAGTTAGTGGAGCTTTCAAGCAAGCACAGAATGCTTGAAACCTGATCCAAATCATTGAAATTTATGTTAACCAACTCAATAATTACTTCAAATGCTTAATTGCTGGAAGCTTCTTTGAGACGTTGCCTGCAGCTAAAACCTTGGACAGAAACAAGAACTTAAAAAGTCTTATTTTGAAAAGTTTAATAATTAATGTGGGAATAATAAGATCACATTGATAAATCGAGAAGAGGTTGGGAATTATACATGGGAGAATAAAAGACTTTATCTTTCTTTCTTTCTTCCTCTATTTTCCAAGCAACCAAACAGGCTAATGGGAAACAAATCAACTTTCGCCAACCCTCCTCCTTCGTGAATAAAAAATAAAAAAAAATTAAAATTGTTTATACATGCATGAATCAATGTCAAATATTAACAAAATAATAATAATAATAAATAAATAAATAAATAAATTGGAGAGAGTTTAAAAGAGTAGAGGTCCCTGAGTTCACATTAACAGTGAAGGAACACGCAAGATAGATAAGGGTGTGTTTAATAACTTTTTGATTTTCTATTTTGGCAGTCTCAAGAAAACAGAGACACAATTTTGACTTGACACAATTTTGACTTGACAAACCGAAAACAAAGTCTTTCACTCTTATTTCATTTGTTCAAATAGACTCCTAAAACCAAAAGCGACCAAAAGGGGATGCCAAAAAATTAACCTGTATCAGCGAAATTTATGTCAGCCAAGCGAAGATACCACAAGTGCTTAATTGCTGGAAAACTCTTTGAGACCGTACCTCCAGCTAAAACCTTTGCAGCAAAAATGCCAGAAATAAGAACCAAGAAATACCTTCCAATACAATTGAACCGCAAAAATAAAAATAATAATAATAATAATAACATTAAATTTACATCTCACCTTGAAAACAAATTTGTCTAGGATAAGAACAATGATTCTAGGCAAACTAGCAACAAGCTCAATCAAATTGGTGGTTTTACCCCACTCTGGATTATCAACTTTAGCCTTCGGTACAATATTGAGAAGAGAAACATTCAGGCTGTTTTTGAAAGATTTAAAATCACGAACACCCGTGAGTTGCAGATATTTTAGCTCGGGAACATGAATATTAAAATGCTCAATACCAACGCACTCCGAAATACCTAGTTCCTCAAGTAAAGGTGCACTTGAGAACAGAGTTCCGAGTATGTCAGTTCCATGTGGTGGCTTAAGTATGCAATTCCAGATACTCAAACTAGTCAATTGTGAACAAGAAAATATAGAAGGCGGCAGTTTATAGGCAAGAGGACTTACACACAAAAAGGTGAGTTTCTTAATACCATTCCTTGACAGAATTAGTATCCAATGATCAATATCTGCGTTCTGATCAGTACCTATGGAGAATGGAATTTTGAGATAAAATTCCAGAATGGGACCACTTGTGAAGTCGGAAAATTTTACTGATCACATTCACAAAGTTCTGTAGAATGAATGGTTTGTTTTCTATGGTCTGTTCGCAGAACTGACAGTCAAGTATGAGTCGTGGATGTGTAGTCCAAATACACCTCCACTTTCTAGATAACACACTCGTTCTTGCAACATCTCGAATGGGCATACACTCTAGTATACAATCTATTAATTCTCTTGGTAGGTCACTAATAATATCCTCTGCAGCATTGGCAGCCTTACAATTGCTTGTCACTGTTTGATCTGATAGAACTTAGTTCAAAGGGAATGAATGAAACTTCAATGGAATAGAAAGAAATTAGTCTAGATTTGTACATATGTTTTACTGCTTTCTTCTTCCAATTTTGCTTTGAAAAGTTTACCAATTAATGTGGGAATGATATAATCACGTTGATAAATAGAGAAAAGCATTCCCTATTGTTGGGAACTAAACATGGGAGAATAAAAGAATCTTTTTTCTTTCTTTCTTTCTTCCTCTATTTTCCAAGCAACCAAACAGGGCTAATGGGAAACAAATCACATTCACCAACTCTCCTCCTTCTTGAAGGTTTTTCTTTTTTTTTTTTTTGGATAATTCAAGTTGTTTAAACATAATTACATTGAAAAATGAAACTTTGTTGGGTACTAAACATGTGAATGTAAAAACACTTATGGCCGGCTTGATTTGTCACTCGCACAACAGTTTTCTGTTTTAAAGAATTAAAAATAAAAAAATAATAAAAAAAAGTTGTATAAAATCTTTGCTTGATTCAATTTTGTGAAAATTCTTATATAAAAGATGTTGTTTCTTTCAGTTTTATGCATATTATTTTCTAAAATAGTTTTCTATTTTTTCAAGTTCTTGATAACTATTTTCTGGGTGACAAACCACCAACTAGGCTCTCTGTTTTCAAAGAACTTGCATTACCAAATTTACCAGTGGTTATGGTCTGTGATATACTGAATAGACGAATGATGTGTCGAGTTGGGAATATGTCTTTTCCAATTTTCTAAAAACAGTTTTCAAGTTATGAATCTGTCTTTTCCAGTTTTCTAAAACAGTTTTTTTTTTTCATGTTTTATGAGAGACAAACCAAGCAGATCCTTCCTTTTTCATTCTTCCTCAATTTTCTAGCAAACCAAATAAGGCACAACGCTCCAATTGATAAACCAAATCAACTTTCTCTACCTCCCTCCTTCCTTTCCCTATATTTCTCAGCTACCAAAAAGAGAATCCAGACGCTAAACAAATAGAAATTACATAAGATAAATTGAATTGAACCAAAACCCAAAACATCAAAGCCCTAAATTTCACAACAATAAACTTCAATCAATATTCAGATCCAAGAAAGAGATATTCGGGACTTACCCATTATAACGATTGCGCCAATCGCACTTTTTTAGTTGGAAAACGAAGTTGTAGAGAGAGAAAGCTTCAGTACTATAGAGTTCAACTCTCATTCAAAACCCACCATAAATTCATAATTGGCAGAGATCCCAACCTCTCTATAGATAGAGAGAGAGTATACAACAATAATAATTAGTGTATAATTCAAGTGATTATTGGTTAAATAAATAGTGTATTTGAAAGATAATTTTTTTTTTTAAAATGCACAAAACAGAAGGTAAGTTCAAGAGACGTCACAGTTTGATTGAGTGCAAGCCCTAGCCCAAAAATTAGGTGGGCTGGTCCGGAGCCCTAAATTTCCTAACTTGTGTATTCAAGCCTCTCTCAAAATTTCCCCAAAATAATAAGTTTTGTTTCACAACAAGTCTCACACCATGTTATTTTACATAAATTAACTCTTTTTTATCATTTTCAATGACTATTAAGTTTGGATGATGTTATAATTGTTAGGCAAATGATAATCTTAAAAATAAAATACTCGGAATATTTGCAAAAACATTTCTAGAATTATTCATTAGCACAAGGAGCATAACATATAATAAAATTAACCCAACATAGACCGATTATTCATTTTTTTTTTTTTTTTTAATACCCCACATAAATTGTTATTTATATATATACAACTACTTATGTCTCCCAAGCACTTACTTAACATAATTTGTGTGATCTCAAAACTCATACAAAATTCTAATTTGAGCTCAATTCTTGTCCAACAAAAATATAAATTCATTGTTTGTGGTTTTTATTAAAATATCATCATTTTATTTATATTTACATATCACAACTATAATATCCATTATATGAATTCAACAATGTCTCTCGTATTAATAAAAATAATCGTCAATCATTTTCGTGTGAAGTATTAAAAACTAAAATATTGTGACACCGTGATGAAAAGAATGCCAAAAGAATAATATCATTATATATGCTAATATTTTTAGTTGTCTCTTGTTCGACGACAAATTTTATAGTGACTACTTATCTAAGTTATTAAAGCATTTCTATATTTTGTTCATGCTAACTGATTGTGTTTTATTTAGTTAAAATATTATATTTTTCTCATAGCAGTTCCGTAATGTTTTCAATTTTCGTCATTTTTCATTTTTGTAATTTTTCATTTTTGGCAAGGGCATTTTCGTCTTTTTACGTTTTGCGTACCGGACACCGTGGGACGTGCCGGGTGAGTTTAAGAGTTGGTTGGGACATTTTATTGAGTTCAGAACTCTTGAAAATGCAAGGGTTGTCATTTCAGCATTTTTTCGTTTTTTGGGCCAAACGGTCCCATGTGAAAACTGCTACCAGCATGGTCGTATACAGGAATTTTGGTGGGGTTCATTGGCATTTCATTCACTTTATTTTAATGTGTTTCATATGATTCCATTATGGTGTGTATGTATATTATGTGTGTATGGTAAAAAAAGAAAAAGGAAAAGTTAAAAATGGAATTTTGGGGGTGGGATCCATTTTCCACTAAAGTGTATTAGTAGCGAAGAGGTCATTTTGGCCTCAAATTCTTCCTTCTCTCCCGGCACTCTATCTCTTTCACTCTTCTTCTTCCATTTTTCTTTTCTTTTTACATCAAGGCTTCAAACTTTAATAACTCCTTTACCATTTGGAATTTTTGGATGCGGTTTGTGGTAAAATGAAGAGTTCGGCGAAATCTTCACATTGATATAAGCAATTTCAGCTTTGGCCAACCCTAGGGATTTCGAAATCTAGGGTTCAAATTGAGAATTTTTGCATCTTTGGAGGTAGGGGTGTTCAATTTATACATTCTTGCTCTTTTGTGAATTGTTCTTGTATGTATTGTATTCTAGCATGCCTATTTTGTAGAAATTCTTGTAAAAATTGTTTAAGTATTATATATGAGATTGTGTAGGTTGGTGTTAATTGATAAATTATGATGATGCATGCTTATATGAAATTAATCCCATGTTGTATATGCTTTCCATATTAAATTATGGTTGAATGAGGGCATGTAATGTTTTATTGGAATTTCTTATAAAGCATGTTATGTGGTTTAATTTTGAACTAGTTGTAAAATGACAAATGTTAGCATGATGCATTCATGCACTTCATTGGGAAGAAATGGGAATGATGTTTTGAAAGAAATGAAATGGGGCTTTTGGGAAGAAATTTTTGAAAAAGGTTTTATGAAAAATTCGGTCGCCTAGGGGTTACTGAAGGACCGTAGTGTTAGTGTAACTTAGAGGGAATTAGGAGAATTTCCCTAGCGTAGTTGAGTTATATGGGCCCCAAATGACGCCATGGGGTTACCATAGGTCAGGGACAGTAACCAATCATTCTCTCATGTCACTAGGATGTCACCGTAGAACGGGTTTCACTAACAATTTGGAAATGAAGAAGGAATGGTTTTGGAAATGGAGAGAGACATTGCATCCCATTTCATGGTGTTTGTATTTATGACTTGGATTTTTTTGTTGGTTAAGTAATTTGCTTGAAATTGCCTTTTTATATTGTGAAAATTGTCCATTATTTGTCATTGACTCTATTCATCCCCCTAGAGTCAATACTTGGGTAACATTAACATTGATATAGTCGTGTTCAAATTACTTGTTGCACAGCCTGCACCAAAACTAATTAACGGTAACTCTAGAGAGATGAATTTTCGAAGGAGATTATAATTTTAGGTTATGTTTGGTGTGAGTGAATGGAATCAAGTGAAGGTGGAATGGAATGCATTTGTTTCCATTCTCTTATTTGGTGTGTCACATTAAAAGTGGAATGGCCATTCCTAGGGAATTCCCATTACATCAAAAAGGTGGAATGCCCATTCCACTTCTTGAGAGGTGGAATGACCATTCCATTCCCACTAAAAATTAATAAAGTAATAAAATAATTTAAAGAGATAATTCACGCATACACACTATATAAAATATAATATATATATATATATATATATATATATATATATATCTATATGCTGTTTATTCCCCCTCTCTCTATCTCATTTATTTTTCTCTCTCTATTATCTCTTTCCCTTTTATTTTTGCAAATTAATTTTTTTAGTTAATTTTTTTTACTAATAATAAAATGTAATTTAAAGAAACAATATAAATTCATTTTATTCTAACTTTCTTACCAAACATGGGAATGAGAATGAGGTTCCATTTTTACACATTCCATGTTTATAACCAAACGGTAGAATGAGAATCATTATTCTCATTCCATTCCATTCTCATTCCATTTCCATCTCCATTCTCATTCCATTCCAATTTATTCCACCACACCAAACATACCCTTAAGGTCTGATTTTTTGAAGATGGAATGGGTTGACCTTTACACGTTAGGTGCAAGTGAGGGGAAGTGCGTGTATAATTGCAAAGTAAGTAAACTATATATATATATATATAAAAGAATGATTTTACATTATACAAATATAAAAACATATTATTTAATGAAATAAATAACATTATAAGAATTTAAAATAAATTATAAAAATTAGATATCAAAACAATTTTGTATTTAGAATTCTTAGTTTAGGATTTTATTGGTATATTTTGATATAGAATTATCGTGATGTACTTATTAAAATAAATTATATATTTTCTTCTCTAATTAGATATTTATTTATTGAATTTTAATATTTCCTACTACTACTATATTATTATAGAGTTTCTCCTCTAATTAGATTTCTTTTTATTGAATGACATAAATAAAAATTATAATATTATATTCCCTTTTTTATTATATTTTCTTTTATTGAATTTCAATAATTTAATTTTTAAATATTATATATTTGCTTCTCTGATTAAATTTACATTTATTGAATTTCAGTATTCCAAGTTTCCAACTTTTATATTATTCCTATATTATTATTAGTATTTTATTCTCAAATTAGATTTTCTTTTATTGAATTAAATAAATAAAAGAAAACAAAAAATTGTTCTCAGAGATCTTTTATAATATAACAAAACCAAACAAAAGTTTTTGTACAATTTTTTATTTTCAAAATAAAAAACTTTTTTCAAAGTTACAAACCAAGCAACGTGAAAGTCTCTCTCTCTCTAGTAAGCTTTGCTTTTCTTAAAACATATTTTGGTTAACCCACCTAAGCTGAATATGAACATTCTCTCAAGAATTAGGCATCGGGCAAGTAAAATCTCGAAGAAGAAAAGTTCAGCCGTGTATGAATTGAAAAGGAAAAGTTTCACCATTCGAAGTGTGTTCGCTTTCAAATCCATCCAGGGAGTATTTCAAGGAATTGAAGAACTGTTGCATAAATGTACCTGTACTTACAGAGGACTATGGAACACAACATCAAATGTAAAATCAGTTTCTTTACATTGAACAGATTCGTTATCTTAGTTCACGGTCTCACCGTAATATTAAGTCGCTGCAAGCCCTGCAAGTTAGTGGAGCTTTCAAGAAAGCACAGAATGCATGAATCAATGTCAAATATTAACAAAAATATAATAATAATAAAAAATGGAGAGAGTTTAAAAGGGTGAGATGTTATCGTCGACAGGTCCTGAGTTTACATCAACAGTGTAGGAACATGCAAGATAGATAAAGGTGCATTTAGTAATTTTTTCGTTTTCTACTTTGTAGTCTCAAGAAAGTAGAAACATAATTTTGACTTCTTTCACTCTGATTTAATTTGTACAAATAGACTTCAAAAACCAAAAGCTTCCAGAAGGGGATGGTAAAAAATTAATCTGTATCAACTAGCTTGTTTGCTTGTGAAAATAAAGATTATAGCTGCACAAGTATTACTTCTGCTCTCTGGGAAGCTCGCGGAAGCTGCATCAACTTTTTTGAGATACTACACCCTTCATTTGCATCAATCTCGATCAACATTTTCTCAAGAATTAGGCAATGGGCAAGTAAAAACTCGATGAAGAGAAATTCAGCCGTTGAACATGACTTGTCAAGAATAAGTCTAACAATTCGAAGTTTCAGGTCAATCCAGTCGGATTCTTTATAAAAATTGAAGAACGGTTGCATGACTTTACCTGTGCCTTCATCGGCCTATAGAACACAAAATCAAATGTAAAATCAGTTTCTTTAAAAATGTGTGTTTTTTGGTATTGAACAGATTGGTTATCTTAGTTCACAGTCTCACCGTGATATGAAGTTGCTTCAAGTTAATGGAGCTTTCAAGCAAGCACATAATGCAAGAAATCTGGTCCAAATCGTCGAAATTTATGTCAGCCAAATGAAGATACCACAAGTGCTTAATTGCTGGAGACCTCTTTGAGACCGTACCTGCAGCTAAAACCTTTGCAGCAAAAAGCTAGAAATAATAACCAACAAATACCTTCCAATACAATTGAACCACAAAAATAATAACAATAATAAAAGCATTAATTTACATCTCACCTTCAAAACAAATTTGTCTAGCATTAGAACCTTGATTCTAGGCAAACTAGCAACAAGCTCAATCAAATTGGTGGTTTTACCCCACTCTGGATTATCAACTTTAGCGTTCAGTAAAATAGTGAGCATAGTAATATTCGGGCTGTTTTTGAAAGATATCGATTTAAATTCACGACTGCCCATGAGCATCAGATATTTTAGCGCGGGAGCATGGATATTAAAATGCTCAATACCAACGCACTCCGAAATAATAAGATCCTCAAGTAAAGGTGCACTTGAGAACAGAGTTCCGAGTACGTCAGTTCCATGTGGTGGCTTGAGTATGCAGTTCCAGAGCCTCAAACCAGTCAATTGTGAACAAGAAAATATAGAAGGCGGCAGTTTATAGGCAAGAGGACTTACACAGAAAAAGGTGAGTTTCTTAATACCATTTCTTGACAGAATTAGTATCCAATGATCAATATCTGCGTTCTGATCAGTACCTATGGAGAACGGAATTTTGAGATAAAATTCCAGAATGGGACCACTGTGAAGTCGGAAAATTTTATTGATCACATTCACAAAGTTCTGTGGAATGAATGGTTTGTTTTCTATGGTCTCTTGGCAGAACTGACCGTCAAGTATGAGTCGCGGATGTGTAGCCCAAATACACCTCCACTTTCTACATAACACACTTGTTCTTGCAACATCTCGAATGGGCATACACCCTAGTATACGATCTATTAATTCTCTTGGTAGGTCACTAATAATATCCTCTGCAGCATTGGCAGCCTTACAACTGCTTGTCACTGTTTGATCTGATTCAAACAAAAAGAGAACTTAGTTCAAAGGGAATGAATGAAACTTCAATGGAATAGAAAGAAATTAGTCTAGATTTGTACATATGTTTTACTACTTTCTTCTTCCAATTTTGCTTTGAAAAGTTTACTAATTAATGCGGGAATGATATAATCACATTGATAAATCGAGAAGAGCATTCCCTATTGTTGGGAACTATACATGGGAGAGTAAAAGACTCTTTTTTCTTTCTTTCTTTCTTTCTTCCTCTATTCTCCAAGCAACCAAACAGGGCTAATGGGAAACAAATCAACATTCGCCAACTCTCCTCCTTCTTGAAGTTCTTTACTTTTTTTTCTTTTTTTTTTTTGGGATAATTCAAGTTGTTTAAACATGTGAATATAAAAACACTTATGGCCCGCTTGATTGGTCATTCAGACAACAGTTTTCTGTTTTAAAGAATTAAAAATAAAAAAATTTGTATAAAATCTTTGCTTGATTCAATTTTGTGAAAATTCTTATATAAAAGAAGTTGTTTGTTTCAGTTTTATGAATATTGTTTTCTAAAATAGTTCTCTATTTTTTCAAGTTCTTGATAACTATTTTCTGAGTGACAAACCACCAACTAGGCTCTGTGTTTTCAAAGAACTTGCATTACCAATGGTTTTGGTCTGGGATATACTGAATAGACGAATGATATGTCGAGTTGGGAATATGTCTTTTCCAATTTTCTAAAAACAGTTTTCAAGTTATGAATCTGTCTTTCCAGTTTTCTAAAACAGTTTTGTTTTTCTATGTTTTAAGAGAGACAAACCAAACAGATCCTTCCTTTTTCATTCTTCCTCAATTTTCTAGCAAACCAAATAAGGCACAGCGCTCCAATTGATAAACCAAATCAACTTTCTCTACCTCCCTCCTTCCTTTCCCTACACTTCTCAGCTACCAAACAGAGAATCCAAAGGCTAAACAAATAGAAATCACATAAAATAAATTGAACTGAACCAAAACCCAAAACATCAAAGCCCTAAATTTCACAACTATAAACTTCAATCACTATTCAGATCCAAGAAAGAGATATTCGGGACTTACCCATTATAACGACTGCGCCAATCGCACCTTTTTAGTTGGAAAACGAAGTTGTAGAGACTATAGAGTTCAACTCTCATTCAAAACCCACCATAAATTCATAATTGGCAGAGATCCCAAACTCTCTATATATAGAGAGAGTATACAACAATAATAATTAGTGTATAATTCAAGTAAAAATGCACAAAAGAGAAGGTAAGTTCAACAGACGTCACAGTTTGATTGAGTGCAAGCCCTAGCCCAAAAATTAGGTGGGCTGGTCCGGAGCCCTAAATTTCCTAACTTCTGTATTAAAGCCTCTCTCAAAATTTCCCCAAAATAATAAGGTTTGTTTCTCAACAAGTCTCACACCATGTTATTTTACATAAATTAACTCTTTTTATCATTTTCAATGACTATTAAGTTTGGATGATGTTATAATTGCTAGGCAAATGATAATCTTAAAAATAAAATACTCCGAATATTTGCAAAAATATTTATAGAATTATTCATTAGCATACGAAGCATAACATATAGGGTAAAGTGCAAAAAAATCTTTCTAAACTATGAGAGTTTTGCAACTAACCTCTCGGAACTACAAAAAAAAAACCCTTAAAGTTTCAATTTGTTACAATTTACCCACTCAGTTCATCAGAAAAGAAAAAAGACAAAGCTGCCTTTCTTATAAAACGACACAGTTTGCTTATAATATCAATTTCACTTAATTTATAAAAATAAAACGACGTAGTTTGCTTATAAAACCCTTTCACCTGTATACACAAACATACATATATACATATATATATATATATATGTATGCACTGTTCATCTTCTTTGCAAGGTTAAAGTCCTGTAGCACAACGTATTGCAACCCAATCACAAAACCCACAACCGAAGGCAACGCCGAGTTCATCATCGCCGAACTCACCGCCAGCCCTTCCCCGCCGGATCCATCACAGCCGCTGTTCTCGGCTGCTGTTCCATCCCGCCAAGCACCGCCACAAGCCAAGAAAGATTTAATTAACAGTGCTTTAATTAACAAAGATTTCAGTTTCGACAAGAAGTTTTTGACCATCACCGACCAAACCGGCAAGGCAGATAAGGTTTTAGAGACCATTACCGGTGAGCTTCAGTTCCGCGGCCGCTTCCCCCTCCAGAAATTGACCCACTGCTCCTTCCAGGAACCGACCCAACACTGGTCCGGCCTCCGTTCCTTTCCTCTTCTTAACGACGATGGCTTCGCCCAAATCAGCCTCCGTCCTTGGAGATCTATCCCCTCCTCCAACCTCAACCCTCGTCACCGCACCACCACTAGATCCATCTCCTCCTCCCTTAATCCTTGTCGCGGCCACTACAACAGCACTACCACCTCCATACAAAAATTTGCCCCAATTTCAGATTTAGTGCTTGTATATATGTGTTTATATATATATATATATATATAACTTCGGGCATAGAAACGGTTTGGTCGGTGATGCACTGATGGTCATAAGCTTTTGGGTTTGGTCAGTGATGGTCAAAAGTTTCTCGCTGGAACTAGAATCTCTGTTTCGGTGACACACCTACCAACCTAAGATGATATAACTAGAAAAGTACGCCTGAGAATTTTGCCGGATGGTCGATCATTGATGCACTCCGGTTGGCTTGGTTGCTGAATCTCTTTGTTGAGTCCCTCAAGCTCTCTGTATTTTCTGATATATCAAGTAGCCCACAATATATGATTCTCTCTCTCTATATATATATATATGTTTCTATGCCCGAATCAATGACCGGAATTTGTTTGGCCGGGTCTCGCCGGATACCTCGTCGGCGCCATTTCTGGGTTCGTCGGCAGCAAAACAGACCAAATCACGAGGTTAAAGCCATGTTTGGCTTTGTTGACTGGGATGGGATATTGGAGTCAAACTGTTGGAAATTAAGGGCACTCATGTATTTTCATGCTTCTAAGGACAGTATGATATTTTTAAAAAAATAAACCAAATTTAACGGCCAATTCTCACCAGACCTTGGCCGGATGGGGTTATTTGTAACTTTTTTGTATAGTTAAAGGGATTTTTTGTAATTTTGATAATTTGGGGGTTAGTTGCAAATTTCCCCAAAGTTTAGGGGGAGTTTTTTGCACTTTACCCAAACATATAATAAAATTAACCCAATCGAGACCGATTATTCATTTTTTTTTTTTTTTATACCCCACATAAATTGTTATTTATATAAATACATTTGCTTATGTCTCCCACCCTCCAAAAAAAAAAAAAAAATTTATTTTTTATCAAAGCACTTGTTTAAAATAATTTGTGTGATCTCAAAACTCATACAAAATTCTAATTTGAGCTCAATTCTTGTCCAACAAAAATATAAATTCATTGTTTGTGGTTTTTATTAAAATATCATCATTTTATTTATATTTACATATACACAACTATAATATCCATTATATGAATTCAACAATGTCTCTCATATTAATAAAAATAATTGTCAATCATTTTTGTGTGAAGTATTAAAAACTAAAATATTGTGATACCATGATGAAAAGAATGCCAAAAGAATAATACCATTATATATACTAATATTTTTAGTTGTCTGTTGTTTGATGACAACTTTTATAACAACTACTTATCTAAGTTATTAAAGCATTTCTATATTTTGTTCACGCTAACTGAATGTGTTTTATTTAGTTAAAATATTATATTTTTCTCATAGCAGTTCTCTGTTTTGTTCCTATTAATTATGTTTTGTTTAGTTAAACTATTTTATTTTTCTCTTAGCATTTCTCTATTTTGTCATGCTAATTGTATTTTGTTCAGTTAAAATGTTATGTTTTTTTCTCTTAATATTTCATTAGGGTTAGTTTGGTTAGCATGAATTAGATAATATTTAAATTTGTTATCAGTTTGATTAGTGTGAAAGAAATTTTTTTTAAAGAAGTAAATTTTTCCTCAAAATATTTCTCACATAAAACACAGAAATTTTACATTCTCGCTGAGTCACACAATCCTTCTTAATAGGTGTCGCTCTTACGCTCCGAGCACGTTCCCGCTCTCACGCTCCATGCGCGCCATCGCTCAAATTATCATTACTTATGACTTAATTCTGCCACTCTCACGCTCCCGCTCTCGAATTCGCTCTCGCTCCCACTCCCATTTTATGTGACTTAGCATTCTTGTGAAAAATGATGACTTCGTATTTTAGTTTCTATTATGCCCATGTCACTCCCCTTCACTTCCTCCATAGACTTCGTTTCCTTCTTTTGTAAATTGCTTATATAAGAGTGTAATACTAATTTATTTGCATATAATTTTATATGTGCATACAAAATTATTTTTTATTGTATTTTTCTCCTTCCATAATTAATTAATAATGATTGAGTCATACATGCATGCTTTTAGAGAGAGAGAGAGAGAGAGAGAGAGAGTGTGTGTGTGAGTGTTGGGTGAAAAACTAGGGTTAGTGTTGGTTGATTTATTCTCTACTAATACAAGTTTTGAAATTATAATTTAATTCATACATGTATTTTTTTATACAGACTTTTCTTAACTTTAGGACTACATATATTAAATGTACCAAACTAATTTAGTTCTGACTCTACGTATATTAAATTTACCAAACTAATTTACTTCTAAGTACTTTATTTAGTTTAGACTCAACAATATATATATTAACTTCAACCTTTTATCCTTTAGATTTTCCGAGCAAATTTTTTTATTAATTAAACTTTGCATCTATAATCACATATAGCCAATTATTAAACATCATAACACAAATACTATAATTTTCATGTTTCATCCTTCAACTTGAAATTTCAATTTTGTTCATAGTGTCTTTATATTGTAATCTTATAATTAAAAGGGATAATTTTGGTGATTACAATCATTTTCTTTCCACTTTCATACTTTTCAAACTCACAAAACAATATTTTTTCCCAACTTTTTTGAAACATTTTCTTGCTAATTAAATGCACAATGAAAGCTTGATAATATCAACTCCAATTCACAAGTAACAGATGTCTCCACAAATCTTGGCCAAATCAGCAACAGAAAATATTGGAAACTTCTGTAATCAAGGGATTGACCGATGGAATTTGGCCCCACAAATCTTGTACAGAATATAGAAACTCCCAAAATCATAGGTCAATGTAATCTATATATATATACAAAATTTGTACATAAAATAAGGGAAAATAAGATTCAATTTCTTTCTCTATTTCAATTATTTTTTCACTTGACATTAGTTTTGACTCAGCCCATACTTTTAGAATATTTGCAAGAAGTAGATGGATTTGCGTTCAAGACTATCACACCTGCAAGAGTTTGACATGAAAATTAAAATGGTAATATACCAAGTGCAATAGGTTAATCCAACTCAAGCAAGAAGGAACTTTTCCATTCAATGACTGGGAATGTGAGTTCACATGAGAGCTCTTTGTCATAGTTTTTCCTTTAAAAACCAAGACCACCGAAGACATACAGTTCCACCCACCTTACACTTCATTTCTATTAAGCTAAACATTTTCTAGGACCAAGGGCCAAACGGTACTAGGCTTCTACTTTCCAAAGAGAGGTAAGGGATTTGAACCTAGTGGAGGCATATGTGTGTGAGTACCAACTAGGAGGAAATATATATATATATATATATTTTCCCCTCATTCTATCTGTCAAAAGTTTTACCAATTGACCAAGCAATAACCCTAAATTAGAGTTTATCAAGAAAAATCAACCTATTCATCTCTTAGAATGATTACAGAGTAAAACTTCTCAATTTTAGACAAACCACCAACAACATATATTAGGTATGCTGTTTATGTGGAAAAAAATTTGCCTTGGTAATATAAAAACATGCTGTAGTTACAATGAAACAGCATTAGTATAGAAAAATGTCAAATTTCCCTCTTTGCTCAACATCATATGATGATTCAGTCACATGGTTAGTTACCATATCATGCAGTACTAACTTTGCTGCTAATTGTAAAATATTGCTGGACCAACTCGCATGGAACTATTCAAATAATATTTTTGCTTTCTGGGAAGCTCGTGGAAATCGCATCAACTCTTTGGAAATCCTAAACCCTTCATTTGCATCAACCCCTGAAAGCTGAATGGACATGTTCTCAAGAATTAGGCAACGGGCAAGTAAAAACTCGATGAAGAAAAGTTCAGCCTTCGAACACGACTTGTAAAGAACAAGTTTCACAGTTTGAAGTGTGTTCACTTTGGATTATCAGCTTTAACACACGGTGCAATAGTGAGAAGAGTAAGATTTGGGCAGTTTTCGAAAGATATTGATTTAAATTCAAGAATGCCGAT